GATATCTCCGACTGCGATAACGCCAATATAGTTTTGAAGCAACAGCCAATCGTAATGATACAGATTGTTTTTCTTTCATACTCTCAAATCAAAAACTTGGGAAGTCAGAGACATCGAACTATACATCTGAACACTATCTTGTACTCGAAGGGACAGTCCGCATCACCAGGGGTACTGATAAGCTTAGTAGACACACTAGATGTCTTTGCATTTGTATGTTACACCTTATTGAGCACGGACAATAGGCCCGGGCGAACTTCGCGGGCGTACTGGCTGCTATAGCGTGCGATTGATGTTCCCTCTCTCACAAGAGCGTCATGCAAAGGGGGTTGTATACTGGCTATATCCACTGGAGAATGCACATGCCCCCTTTACGAAATGACAACGAAAACTCTAGCAAGAGTCAGTCACAGTCGCCAAATAGTCAGATCCTTCAGGATGGAGGTGGAAAGAGGTGTGCGGCAAAGGCTGTGGGGTTATGTCGTGACCGATTCGGCAAGAACACGGGTGAGAAAGACTCACGTCGGGTTGTGGGGGGGTGGGGCATATCGATATGACGGGGGCGACAACAAACCACTTCCGGGACCACAAGCCCGAAGCCGTCGTGATATCTTTACTTACTTGGGGAATTGCGGATAGAAGGTCTGGCAGAAGGTAATTCGTCATCACGATCTGGAGGTAATTGTCTCCTTACCGACTGATGATTTACTTCGTCTGGATTAATACAACGCGCTGACTGGTTTTCACTCGAGGTTTCCAAATTATCGAACACTAAAGATCATCTCAATGAGAGTCATAAATTTACTGTAGAAAACAATTGAAGTCTATCTGCACCATCCTAAACACTCCGCCATTTTTGCGCCGTTACTAGGCGGAAACTAGGTTCACTCCTTGAAATGATCACCTTTGCGACCGGAGCTAAAATTTATCAAACCGCAAGATAACACCCGCCTGCCTTGTATCAGCTGCATACAGAATCCAAAGATAGCTGAGAACCTAGTTGGAAGGAGCAGTTCTTCTCAGGTTCAAGATGATCTTGTCATCGGTGTCATCGCCGGTCTCATTCCACCTCAGGTTGTAGATGCCATCGATGTCTGTGGCGGTAGCATACCACCAAGACTCAAAGCTACCATCCTCGGCCTCGACCAGCACAAAGTTGCCGTAAAAGCTGAAGCCGCTGGTCTTGCGGCCGGTTGTGGGCGCGCTGCTATTGAGGAAAGCAACATTGTGCACGCCTGAGTCGGCGGTCGGGATGGTGAAGGTCAGGTTGGACCAGGTAGGAGCAGTAGTCACAGCGGTGGTATTAGGGGCTCCAAGCCATGTCTCGGTATCATCTTCTTCAGGGGTAACTGTCATTGATCGTCCGGTCAGTTCCGCAGTCACCGAGAAAGGAAAGTGGGGTAGCTGGTACTTACAGATCACTGGGGCGGCATTGGAGTCGTTGAACTGAGTGTAGTCTCCAAAGTAGGCATCGCCTGTGCAAATGAGTGTTAGTCTAACGGTATGTCTCGGCAGTGAGGGTCTAGACTGAGCCGAGGTGGCGGTAAAGTTCCTGCACCTAAAGAGACACGAGGCGAAGACTCGGGACGATCTTTAGGTGGTATCGACCGGAAGTTTGCAGTCTTGCAGACAAACTTAAAGCCGAGCTCGTAGTCGGGGAAATCGCTTACCTCCAGCAGTGAACAATGCCAGGCCACCAATTCCAGTGCCATAAGCGTAGATCTGGAAAGAGCTGGTGTCGGCGCGGCGAACGTGAGAAGACTTAGCAGTCCTCACGCTAGCCGGAGCAATTCCTGGGACTGCCGCAGTGAGGGTGGCAAGGGCCAAAAGAAGGCTCCCGATGTGCTGCATCTTCCTGATTTTTTTTTCGAGGACTTGCTGAACAATATTTTGAAGCTGTAGGAAGCTTGTTGTAATGACGGACTGAGGTAGGAGTGATTACTTTTACTTGCAGTGAGAAGTGATGAGTGTCTGAGCAGAAGTTCTCTAGCGGGATCCAAGTTCCTTATTTATCTATAGCAAAGTGAGCCAACTTTGATGAATCTCTGTCCGGGAGATCCGTGGCACAACGTGATCTCCCCGCCCCAAAACCTGGTAAAAAAAAAGCTTCTTGACCAACAAAACCACCAACATCCATCTCCATCATCCCATATCGCGGCTCAGGCCACTGAGGCTGAGACTCCACCGGTGTACGTAGTTGCTCATCTATCATCACAACTTTCTTATGCAACCGCGCGGTTGGTGGGAGTCTGGAAGAAGAAACAGGCATTGGCCTTGTAACCGTCAACGGCAGTGCCATTTTCGTCTGTTCTAGAACGAGGTCCATCCTAGATGGCACCTACGTCAACCAGCACAATCTGTTTCGGAATGTGGGATGAACATGCACGAGCCGAATCGAACCCTGAAAAAAAGCGCACAGGCATCGGGCATCCATAGGGCAAGGCGGAGCGGGATTTTCCTTTCTTTCCCCTTCGAACTTTGTTGCGGACAGCCCGTCACGTCACGTTCACCCGTCCACCGGCTCTATCCTCGGAAGAGGCCGCGCCCCCACCGTTCCGGCCACTCGGCCATACCGGACGTCTTACGCCGATGTTCATATGATACTCTTCACGGCTGGAGTCTCATAGGGCTATTGCGGAGCTACTCCAATGAATATGCATTGCATTGTTCAGGAAGTTTCCTATAATGTTCTGTGGACTTGCCTTCTGGATTCCTGTCTCATTGGCAGGCAAGATCCGTCAAAAATTTGATCAACGACGATGTGACGTCGGAAAAGCCCAAATGTTCTGTCATAATTACTTTTTCAATGCAGCCTTTCGTCGCTTTCCCACATAGAAGGTCTCACGGCCCCGGCGGGCTCAACGATCAGAAGCTTAGGTTATCAGGATCGGCTGCACGAACGGACTACGCGTACGGTACACAGCATACGCGGCGGTAAAATCCGGTGGGACGGTCTAGGCAAAAGCCTCCTTGCTTCCTCCGCTCCGGGCGGGGTGATCTAGGCTGAAATGGCATAGGGGATCCCCGGAGCCCCTTACTGAACCGCCTCCGCCACGGGACATGATCCTTGACGAGGCACTCTGTAGTTTCTATTTCTACTTTCAGCGAGGCTGAGCTGGTGCGCGAAGCTCTACGGGGGCTCATCTCAGCCCTTACGAGACAACGTAGCAATCGAACGAGGAGGAGTAGTGCTGAGAGAACATCAAACACACATTCGGATTGTATCACATGACAAAGTCCAAATGCGACAGCCACAACTGCCTCACTGAATCACTACTTTATCCATCTTCAAAACAATTCACCTTTTTGCATTTTCTGCAATTTTGTTTTCTTAAATGGAGTCATTGATACAGCCTAAGACCTTACCGAGAGTTTCAAACGATCAGTAATCCGCCTCCACGTGAAGCTGATTGGTTGAGTGCCCCAGCTTTCGTCAAGCTCCCCCTTTTTTTTTTCTGCCTACCGCTCCGACACTCAATAGCAACGTTATGTGGGCAAGCGGGAGGGATCGCAGGGAATTCCGGAAAATCGACCATCTGAAACTTCAGCACAAGCCGATGTTCCTTAATTGGCAATTTGTACGTCATCCGTGCCCGGGAAGAATCTGAGATGGGATGAAAATATCGAGTATTGATAAATGTCACCTCCGTCCCGTTCAGCTGCCAAGTCTTAAGCGAACGTTCCCCTGAGTCGAATCCTGAGAGTACGCTCGTCCTCCTACACGGGGCCGAAGTTCTGTTCCCATAATTCGAGCTGTGATGTCTAGTAGTAGATAACCAGGTTTTAACCAAAACACTCAAGGTAAAATCATCCTTCGCCAAAGAGGACTGATGCCTAGAGAGTCGGTTGGCCTTGCCTGACAAGAACGCGTTCTCTAACAAATTCCATAGCAATATTGCAGAGATGCCAGAGTAGTAGCTCAAGCACCCATTGAACCTCACAGAAATGCACATGTCAAGTTTGGTATACAGATCTTGACCGAGACCCCTATCTCGGATGTAAGCCCATCAAATTATTATGGCAGTCCTGCTTGAAACTCTAAACCCCTTGAAGAACTTCATAGAACGGTCAGAAGCTGTTGCATCAAAGTCGGTGAAACCTACGCGCTCGCAGTAATGAGCAGGTCCGCTAGGCATACTGCGGAGTACCATCAAACAGTACGTTTCAGATCTCTTCTTACTGACAGATGGACTCGGCAGTATGCAAACAATCCAACAAAAGTACTTGTCCGTGTCTCTCACTGCTTCCGTTGGTCGATCGAAGTAAAAAGGGATTTTCTCCGAACTTCTTATCATGACGCCCGCGGATTGCTCTCTTGATGTCATGGTTACCGAGATGTCGAGGAATACGCCGCTGACAGTTATACTTCCCCCAATCACCGCCCCGGTATCGTCTTCTGTTGCTGGAGTGATATCGACATTGCGGACGACGGTCTTATTGAGGAAGCGCGGAGTGACCGGCTCTTCAGAACCGCCATATGGGATCCACATAGTGATAGGTCCGTTGTGGGCTGCCCAAGACCACGATGGAGCAACGTAGTCTTTTGAAAAAGTACGCTCAGTTTCCCTGTTTCTCACAGGCGCCCAACACAAGCTGCACAGAAAGTCTCGATCCAGCCAATGACCGGCAGCGTACTTTGTGCAGAGACCTGACTGCACAACCCGGGCAACGCCGGATAGTGCAGTAAGCCTGTCGGTTGCTACCGTCAACCTCCGTCGTGTGTAGTGCTCGACGGTACTCTGCCACATCCAGTTTGTTGTTTCCATGTCGCCTAGTGCCAAGCGAGGCTCGTAAAGCTCCTTGATCGTGACAAGGCCCAGGGGTGCGGCTGGGAATGCACATTCGCATCGGTATTCGTCTTCGAGGCATTGGAAGTTCATCTCGCCTCCAAAAAAGGTGAGGAGTCGAGAGGCAAGGACTTCCTCTTGGAAACACCAGCTGCGGCTCAGTGTCCCACGGGATTTGGGTTCCGCCAATGTGGACCAACCAAGCCAACTGTGGTCCGGCAAAGCTCTGGCAAACACGGTCAAGGCAGTTCCTTCTCTCCCACTGTTCAGGTTCTCCAAGTCCGAAGACTGGAATTTGACGAGTTCTCGTGGCAGCTGTGGTGTAGAGAGGAAACCTTCCTCAACACTATTGGAATCAGCAGCCGCGATCACCAGAACTGCGTTTCCGTAGATTTCCGCCATCTGTGAAGACTGCTCGGCCCAATCCTTAAAGTCGGCATCACCTTGGATTATACACAGACCATCAATCCACAAAAAGGGAATCTCCAAAAATGCAGCAACCGTGACGGCGTCCTTGTATGTTTGGGGAAGACTGTCGAACGGGAGGTTGTCTAGGCGATGACGCAGATTCTGTGTGGTAGTCACACCCGTATTTTGTCGACCCCATGTATAGCTCAGGCAAGCATAAACACCATAATCCGTCATAGAATCGATGAGTCGCAGCTTTTTTTCTGAATCAAATTGTCGAAGATCAAGGACTCTTCGAGGTAACTTTGGGGTCTGGCTGTTTTGGTAACGCGCACCGGAGCTTTCACCCTTTTCTGGACGATTCTCATTCTTGTCACCGACCTTATTCTCATACTTGTCTTGAGATGTTTTGGCTGCTAATCCGCCGTTGCATTGATGATTGTCGAGGCAATGGTGAATCCATGCATTTGCTTGTTGCAGCCTCACCTGCCAGCTCTGTTCAGAACTTCGCCCTTGGATCAAGAGAATGGTTTCTTCAACATCGAGCGGTCGCCCTGAGTCATACTTGGTAGCGGTGACATCGAATTTTCTGGGCATTCATGACCATTGCCTTTTTGAATGAACAGCTCAAGGTTCCTCTCAGGCCCAGCGGCTAGATCATCGAGTATGTGAAATGGGTAGCACAGCTCTAACGTTCCCACCAATGGAAGCAGAGCAAACGCCGACTTGGCGCAGTCGCCTGTCCTACACAGTCTAAAAGCTTCCGGTCGACATTTGTCACACTTAGAGCCAGCCGTAAAGGTTCTCCACTCGGGAGACAAGTGCGTCAATGCCTTTTCAATGATGGAGCATCCAACGCACCCATCACTGGAACGGCTGCGCACTTGACGCAAGTCAACTATGACAAGATTCGACAGATTCGAGCCGTGATCTCGGCTAAACCTATCCAACCCAAGGCCCTGGCAGAAAGCGCATTCAATGAGGGTAGGGCTATTCAGTAGCAGCTGAGCTGTTTGCGACATTGTGTGATATCATCAGAAGCGGGGTAGAACAGGGGCATTGGTTTTCCCTCTACTCCTGACTCGAAGTCAAAGACGAGTGGCAATGCTAGCAAAGTCACGGAAGAAATAGTGTAATTCGTCAAAGTTTGAAGAAGTTTATCAAAAACCCCAGATAAATGTATCAAAAGTGCAAAGGCATACCTCCAATTGTTGATCGCTGAGATATTGCTACCTGAATGATAGCAGCTACCGCTCCCATCACCTAGCGTGTGATGACTAAGGCTAAGGATGCCGCCAATGCTATATCTGCTTCCAATCCGTTTGATCAATTACATATGAAATTTGGCATTCTCTCAAGAAAAAATGAGGCCTAAAATAGCACTGATATTTTGTCGGTCTCAAATGGTTTATATACTTGTAATCTCATCCTTGATTCAATTCAATCAGGTTCGAGACGACTGTACGTCCGCTGTGCCAAGCTTCTGTGCTAAGCCTCAGCCGCCCACCAAGCCATCCACTGAATCCTTCACACGCTAATGCTGACGACTAAATTTAGATCTCAATCCTCTCCAACTTGTATGTATGCTGTGCTCCGACTCGCACTTAGCCTTGCACCTTCCCTTAGCTTCATTTCCAACACCTGCATCACCGAGATCAGCTGGAGTTCATCGGATCCCGCTGTGGTTCATCCAGAGCTTCTGTGAGGCGGAGTCAAAAAACATTGACGGAAGCCTATGTTTATGCTTATCCGGATGACATTCCGGTCTTGTGTCCATTGCTGCGGACCACTTGGCGGACTTACTAAGGTCTGCATCGATGCTTGTTCGAGCTCTGCCGAAAGCCGTAATACAGGCTGAGCCCGGGTCCTGATCTTAGGCCCGTCGTGACACTCTCCCAACGGAAGCCCACCTTAGCTCCAGCTCCAGCCTCGCCGAGCATAGCAATCATGAGGCCATCGTGAGAGCGTCGGTCATCCTTTCAGTGATGGGAAGTAGATATAAGGCCATGGCTCATTCCCAGATTATCCATCACGACCACTATCTCAATAGTTCATTTCCAAACTAGCTCCTCTAATTAGGAGTTCCATCGCATCACAGCTTGCCCCAACCTGCCTAATACATACTTAGTACTATTATTCAGGCTTTTCTCCAACGCAATATGATGTCTTCCAAGCTCATCCTCGCCCTGGGCAGCATCATTTCTCTTGCTGCGTCCCTACCCCACGCTGCTCGCGAGTGCACTCAAGCCTTAACGCCGGGCATAATCGCTCATCCTCAATACTTCAACGTCTATCAATCCGCCACGCAACCAAACCACCCCACAGACAACGTCCCACATCTCGACCTCCACACCAACATCACTCGCCAGGTCGTCATTTTCACCGGCATTCCGTCTTCGGCTACGACTTGCTCACTCGGCTGGCGTCAGGGACCAATTGAAACCCGCGTCTTCCGCGTCGATGGTAGCGGCCTCGTTTCTTCGCGCCAACTCAAGGCCGAGGGCTTCCCAACGTGGACCAAGGGGAGCGATGTGCTGATTAACCCCACGACCATTGCGCCGTTTCAGGAAGGCAGCGAGTTTTCAGCGGGCATGGATTTTACGTTCTGGGATCAGCCTGATTTCTCCGCCCCTGCGACGCACGGCGGCCCGAGTGTGAAGTGTGACGAGAGAATCGTTGTGGAGTTGGCAGTCAACCTCAACAATGGACAAGATGGTCGGGTCTTCATGCAAGATGATGCCGATAATGGCTTGTACATCTCATACTCTTGAAAGAGGTTGTGTTGAACAAGGTGTTTGATTTCGGATTACATTTAATGGGATGGACTAGAGACGGGACTTTATTTCTCAGCGTTGCATGGAGGTATGGATTTGAGTCAAAAGCCTTCCTCATAGGTACTTGAGATATTTCAATAGATGCAATATGTATTTCATTTGCACGTTCACGACCTGAAACATCTTTGAGACCTGGTAATATACAATCATGAGCTGAGGACCAGTGCTTAATAAACATGAGGCAACACCGTCGCATAGACGGTCGCATAGACGGTCGCATAGACGGTCAGTAAGTCAGGACACTCTGAATGAGACTACTGTGACTTGTTCGCGGTTGGCACCAAGAACACTTGAGCAACTATCTCATTGCTGGATCAATGGCATATTGCCTTGCTGTTCCTGAACTACATATGCATGTGGCATTCGGATTTAAAACAGTCAGTAGTTCTGAGATTGGAATTATTTAGCCAGCGAGCAAGCAAATGAGATCTTCTTCGAATGATGTTCCCACACTTTTCTATCCTGATTTTCTGCACAATGAGTGTTTGAACTGAGGGAATTTCATTAAGTACGTGCATCTCCAAATTCGCATGTACAAGCCTTTCCTACATCTCAAGTGAGCAAAAGGCAATATTGGCATCAATTGGAGGTCACGCATGTTAGTATTAACGAGACTTGAACTAACATCGATAATCACACTCAAGCCTCTTTTGAGATGGTAGCCAGACTAAAACCCTTCCTAAGCTAACTTTTTCTTCCGTAACGCTTACCTCAATAGTCGATTCCAGAGACGCTCTGATGTCACATGGAATCCGAGATGTCTACAAATGCTGAACCGTCCGCGTCAGCCGGTTGCAGTAGCGTGCATAGATCAAGTGGACCTTCGCTCTAAAGCTGAGGTAAACCATCAACGTCAAAGAAGCATGTCCCATTTCTCGACTGAACAACCACCAAATCACAGCATCGTTGTTAATTCCGAGCCTGTTTCAAGTTGCTTGCTGACTTTCCAATTTACTCATTATGACTCTTTGCTTCGGTTTGCAGGCAAGGAATGCCAGCACGACCGATGTCCACTGCCAGATATGGACTACCGTCCACCTCGTTGGTTGTTACATGACGGTGAAGCAGTCTCCCTTTGCCGCTCGGAATCGGGCCATGTTTTGATATTCCACTGAAATGCCGTCTCCTTGCCTCAAACCCGCAATGATGCAGTCACAGCATCAGCATGTTGCCACGTTCCTCGCCCTTTACGACCGATACGAGCGAGAAATCCGTTGAATGCTCCTAGTGTTAGGATTTCCCAAACTTAATTTCGAACGCTGGAAATCATTTTCCTGGTCACTATAGTACTAAGTGCCGACTTTAGAGTAGTGCGAGAGACTGTGATTTGTTGAAAACGGTCAGCAGTGCAATTGCAAGACAGTATGCCTTGTCATAGAAGCTGAGATTATAAGTACTGTTGACTGTTCGATCATGAAGAATGGGTCACACTCCTGAACTCACATCCTTCGTGTTCCCAGCGTCCGCTGATCATTATTCAAGCACTCCCATCGCATACCATTAAGTTGCTTTCTGGACACCTAGAATCGTCCAATATGGCCCCTCAACTTCAACAACCCCTGGAAACCTACCTGGCTCGGCATCGCCAGCTATCCCCGACGGCGGCCGTTCGCGTGTCCCCCCTGGCTCTTGGCGCCATGAACTTCGGCGAGAAGCAGAAGGCCACCATGGGCGAATGTACCAAGGAAACTGCCTTCGAAATCATGGATCACTACTACTCCCAGGGCGGCAACTTTATCGATACCGCAAACAATTATCAGGCCGGCCAGTCTGAGGAGTGGGTCGGCGAGTGGCTCGCATCGCGAGGTAATCGCGACGACATTGTGCTCGCCACCAAGTACAGTAGTGCCTATCAGCTACATGACAAATCAAAACTTCAATCCAATTACGGCGGCAACAGCACCAAGTCATTGAAGCACTCCGTCGCACGATCTTTGAAGGCCCTTCAGACAACCTACATTGACATTCTGTACCTTCACTGGTGGGATTATTCTGCCTCCATTCCCGAGGTCATGCATTCCCTCAATGATCTGGTCACCTCTGGCCAAGTCCACTACTTGGGCATTTCAGACACCCCGGCCTGGGTGGTAGCCAAAGCAAACCAGTACGCCCGTCTCTCGGGACTCCGCCAGTTCGTCGTCTACCAAGGCAACTGGAACGCGTCCCTGCGCGACTTTGAGCGAGAGATTATCCCCATGTGCTTGGATGAAGGCATGGGTCTCTGCCCTTGGGGGGTTCTCAACGCCGGCCGCTTCCAGACGGAGGAAGGCTTCAAAGAGCGCGAGAAGCACAACCCGGGCAGGCAGAACAAGGTCTCCGAGCACGATAAGAAAGTCTCCAAGGCTTTGGAAAAGGTCGCCAACGCTAATGGCGCGTCGCTTCCCGACGTAGCAGTCGCCTACGTCATGCACAAGGCCCCGTTCGTCTTCCCCATCGTGGGTGGACGGAAGCTAGGCCACATTGAGAGCAACATCAAAGGGCTTGGTCTCGCTCTCGCCGATGAGGATATCCGTGAGATTGAGGGTTCGCACGAGTTCGATCCTGGATTCCCTCATACTTTCCTAAGTGGCACTTCGCTTTTCGGAGGTGCCCCCAAGGGAGCTTACCATCCTAGGGACGTGTGGCTGACAAACCTGATGGGGAAGTTTGACTGGGTTGATGCTCCCAAAGCAATTTCATCGGAGTGAGTCCATCAGTGGGGGAGGCTGGGACTTATGATATCTGGAATATCACATAGATAGAAAAGTAACAGGCTTCTTGCCAAGAGTGGAGAATGCTACATGATGAATTTACATGGTCGTCCTAAACCGGGTGCATTAAGACCACTCGGAAACATACTTGTGATACCTTTCCAAGCCGCAAACATTTGCTATGAGATGTCGATTGTATTCATGCGGCGCCGATCGCTTATTTAGCCGAACTCAGTGTAAAAAGGAAGGTAGAATAAGCATGTCCATTTCATGCAAAATCACTATTGCTGGTCGATAAGGACATGGCGAGGTCCCCTGATGATGACTTAAGAATGTTACATGGAACCAAATATGCTGAGAAGCTTCCTCGAGGGGATATCCGCCATGGGTAATGATTCCCTAATTCCACATGTAGTCACCCTGCAGTGACAGTACTCAGAAACTCAGGAAGCCGTCATCAGGTGATCGGCCGGACTTAAGATAACTGAACGGCTGACGCAGGCTTGGTGCCATGGGCCGGGTCAAGCCCTGCTTGTGGTCGAAAACGAATTCTTTAATGCACCCAGGCCATCTACACCTACTGGGGAAGGTGAAGTATCTGATTCAGCCCGCAAGTTGGTGGTAATCTTAACAGATTCTGACGTATACTGTAGCAGTGGTCAAGATCGCGGACAAAAGCACCGCCTCGGTTGCCAAGACGCTGCGGGACACTTTCCAGTATTGGCTAGAAGAACCATGTATTGGGAAAATGGAGTTTTCAAGACAATGGAGAGTCAAGTTTACTCGACGTATAAAGGCGATAGTCCCTGATGGATTGAGAGGAAACTTACTTCAACATCCGCCTAAGACAGTCACAGTTCTCATTCCTTGTAATGGCTCTTAACAACACCTTGGGCGCTATCATGCGCGGTGTCATGTACCGCGGTGTTCCCGGCGAGATGACTGTCGAAAACATTCCCATGCCCACCATCCTCAATCAGACCGACGCCGTAGTTCGCATTACGTCTTCCGCTCTATGTGGTTCTGAATTACACGTATACCGCGGCTACCAGGGCGGCTCTCCCCCGTGGAACATGGGGCATGAGGCCATTGGCTACATCTCCGAGCTTGGAAGCGCAGTCGCCGGGCTGAATGTTGGTGACTACGTTATCATCCCCGACACGGTGAACCACGGTCGGCTCGAGATGGCGCCCGCCGGTTTGGATTTCTATGGCAATGGAGCTGTCGTCACAGATGGTCTCCAGTGTAAGTCATCGATCCGCCCCAAGACGAATCTTCATGGCTTTCATCGATGAAGACGTTTAATTCATTATCGCCATTTTCTGAGGCTGACATGCCGTATGGATCAGCTGAGTACGCCAGAGTCCGATTCGCCGACTCCAACTTAATCCCTATCCCGCTCACTCAGGAGACAACCAACATCACCATCGAGCAAGACTATCTGACACTATCCGACATCTTCGCTACAGGCTGGGCTAGTCTTGACTTCTCTGGCTTTGAAACAGGCGATACGGTAGCAGTCTTCGGCGCCGGCCCAGTCGGACTGATGGCCGCTTACTCAGCTACTCTCCGAGGTGCCTCAAAGGTCTATGTGATCGATCACGTCCAAGCCAGGCTCGACCGGGCCGCCTCCATTGGCGCAATTCCCATTAACTTCGCAGCCCGCGACCCCGTCGCGCAAATCATGGCTTCCGAACATAACGGGATTATGCGCTCCGTCGACTGCGTCGGCATCGAGGCTCTGAACTCGACCCTAGAGCACCAGCCCAACATCATCCTGGATCAGATGGTCAATCTTACCCATGTTGGCGGAGGTATCGGCCAGGTTGGCGTGTACATGGCGCAACCAGACTCGCCTGGCTCTCCTCTAGGGTCCACATTTTCTCCCATTGCCGAGTTCCCTCTGTCCGACTTCTTTGGAAAACGCTTGAAGTTTCAAGCTGGGCCCGTCGATCCCAAGATATACGCGCCGATGCTTGTAGAGCTTATCAGTAGCGGCAAGGCAAGCCCTCATTTCATTGCTTCGGCGAGTATCTCGATTGAGGATGTGCCGGCCTACTACGCCCGATTCAACGCCCATGATGAGATCAAGGTCTTCATCAACTTTCCTTAACGGATCATGTAGATGAGATGTTTCAGCCCTCGGTCAACAAAACCGAGGTAATGAACACTTGGTAATCACAGACGCCAGTGTCGGAAACAAGGGTGCAGCTAGGGTCGCACTCTTATTGGTTCAAAGTCAGAGGAGGTGCCTCTTCAAAGCAATATCACGAGTCCCAACCGATAGCAACTTTCCATAGGGAGAATACTGAATTTAACTCCTTCTCAAACCTTATAAAGGATTGTGCTTTTGTGTTTCTTCTTCTTACGCTTGGATATCTCCTCTCCTACGACGCCAACTGTTGTCAAGTCGCAACCATCCCCTGTCGGTGTGCACACAGAGAAGACAGTGACCTCACTTGTCAAATTTCTGAATATCTTTTAGAGTATACAGATCTTGATCATGATATTTTGCGCATCTCATTTGATCCAATTGATGGCCATGAAGCTCAGGGACAATGGTCAAGTTGGCCGGGTAGCTCGCTGCTTTCTCGGGGGGTGGGTCGGCGCATCCGTTGAACGCAGGAAGACCTTGATAGCCCAAGCACATGGAGGCGGAAGTTGGCGTTGGGCAGAGTCAAGTTTCCTGTTATCAGTGCTAGACGTGTTCCGATATCCGTCACGAAATGTTCAATGGTGGCGTTGAACGGCACAAGGCGGTCGGGGCAAGGGGCTGGGAAGATCAACGCCAAGTCCGTGGCTAGTAACTATCCCGGGCTCCCAAATCCAAGATGATTCAAGTAGTCAATATGGCCCGTTCCGGGTCGGTGGTTGCTGAACACCACAATAATCGAACTTGACCGTACTTCGCCAACCAAGTAGACAGCAATAGTGGTAGTGCATATAATGCGTAACGTGATTCAAAGAGGCAGACTCCTCTCAACGGTCAATTGTCGTCTTGGTGTCGTTTTGATTAGAGGTTCTCTTCAAAAGAGATGCATAAATTGGGAAGTAAACCTTTGCGTACTCCCCTCGCTCGCCTGGTAAGCCGGCACATCTCGCGATACCGTCACATACGACCATACCCATTGGAAAACTCGGGATCCCGTCCGCTCTCCCATAGATAAGCCAATGAGGGCCGGATTAGTAGTTGAGTCGGTGACGATCAGCGAATACCTGGTGTTGTAAGTTTTCGATTTTTTGCGTTCGACTTGTCAGTGATGCTGCATTTGTGGTGCAAAACGGTGGGTGACGATAGCGGCGTTTTTGCGCTTCAGTGCGCCTTTGTGGGGCCCTTTCTTTAGACATTTCAGATCTATCCATGGGGGCCGGGAGATGGACGCTGTCACTCAAAAAAGCTAGTATCCTGGCTTACTGTCGATACTTCTCGCTTTAGCTGTCTTGTTTTCCAATACACCGGGGCACAGAACACAACTGCACTCTTGAATCATAAAATATGTCCCGTCCTGAAACGATCTCAAGACCTCCGCTAGATAAACCTATTCCTTGCCTGTTCAACACAGCTCGAAAAGGGTAATACCAGCTTCCTCGGTATACTGGCATGCGTCAAATTCAAATTATTGGGTGTCAGAAGAGAACGCGTACCAATGCCCTTACAGCGGTGACAGCCAAGGAGCACAACGTCGTTGAAGTATCTAGTCCAGCCAACACCGCAACTGGTTGAGTCGTAACATGTGACAGCGCAGCTCAGCCAAATGACTGTCAGCTAACAACAAATTCCCAAGAAAATCAGTGTACCTCGGAATAGATGATGTGTAGCATGCATGACGTCATGTCAAGTCGACTGGCTCGAGTCAACAAGACATAAGTACCGAGTCCCTAGAGCCCAATCTATACAAACCGGGCACATGAAGATGATCTTGACAAGCAAAAGATGGCGCGAGATGAGCTATGCGATATTTTGTGGAGATTGAAACTATCCGAGTGAATGGGAGAAGTATGTTACAGCAGGCGTACGTACCACTTGGGGCAATACAAATCACAAAATCTTGCCATTCATTACGTTTCCGACCGGATAATTGACACAATACCGGTATTTCAACCGTCACTAAAGCATGGAGTGTACACCCCGCCGGAATCTCAAATGTTGGTTTGTCACAAGACGAATTTACACGTGAGATATGACATTCGTTAATAGTTCCCGCCTAACTCCAAGTACTCGAACGTCTAGTCGATGTTTGATACTGGATGTACCGTACTTGATACCATGAAGGTTCCTGGGCTATCAAGTCGACGTCAGTATACAAGCCTCCAGTTTTTCTCTAACAACAACGTAGGCCTCAAGTTTTTTGATTTTCAGGAACAAGCCATATATTTTCAGATCATCATGTGATTCGCGACTAGTCCTTATAAAAATACGGGCCTTTATACTGCCGTCGACTCGCGACCGAGGTGATAACTCTTCTGCAAAATGAATAAAGAAGCTACCTATTCAGGTGGAGAGCTCACGCACCCCGCCGGGAGTCTAAATACAGGCCCTTGACGTTTGGGGCATTTCGCCGAAATGATTTTGATAATTCCGGCGGGGGTGTAGTAGTTAACCCACTGGCATGTAAGCCCTTTATAACTGCCGTCGGCGTGATATTGGCTATTCATGGACACTACTTAGGCATGGCCACTTACACATCTAAAGGCAACTCAGGCTTTCAGTAACCTCGATCGCCTGCTCACCAAAGTCATGATTTTACACGCAATCCGTCTCACTGCACCGCAAATTGGCAAGAAATACATTTCTTCATTATGATGTTCTCTTACATGCATCAGACCTTCCTACTTGTGGCGATTCTGTGGGGTTGTGCTCAAGTTACCCAAGCCGATAACCCCATTGTCCAAACTATCTATACGGCAGATCCTGCCCCGATTATCTTCAACAACAGAGTGTACTTATTCACCGGACATGATGAGAACGTAACAACACCGTCTGTCGACATGCGTGATTGGCGTCTCTTCTCATCAGCCGATATGGTCAATTGGCAGCATCACGGGTCTCCTCTATCACTCTCGGCATTCAGCTGGGCTAGTAGAGATGCATGGGCTGCACAAGTCATCGAAAGAAACGGCTTGTTCTACTACTACGTTACGATCACCAATGGCGCCACTGTGGGAAGATCCATCGGCGTGGCAGTGAGCGATGAGATCACGGGTCCTTATCGAGACGCCATCGGGGAACCTCTTGTCGAAGATGTCCAGATAGACCCAACCATCTTCATTGATGATGACGGTCAAGCCTACTTATACTGGGGCAATCCGGGCCTTTCATATGTCAGGCTGAACGAGGATATGATCTCATACAGCGGCAACCCAATCCAGGTTGAACTCACAGTGGAGAGCTTCGGAGAACGACTCGGAAACCCTGATCGCAATAGTACACTTGAGGAGGGCCTTTGGTTTTACAAACGCAACGGCCTGTACTATACGGTCTCCGCTGCAAGCTGCTGTAGAGAGGATTTCTGATACTCGACTGGGCCCAGTGCCACCGGTCCCCGGACTTATCGCGGTCTCATCATGCCCGCACAGGGTAGAGCCAACTCGAACCATCCAGGAGTCATTGACTTTGCCGGAAAATTCTACCTCTTCTAACACAACGGCGCTTTAGTTGGAGGTGGCAATAACCTTCGCTCAGTCTCAGTCGAGAGCTTCACCTACACCTCGAATGGTTCGATTCCTCAGATAAATATGACTGTAGAGGGGCCAGAGCAAGTTGTTGCACTGAACCTATACATTCGCCAGGAGGCAGAGACAATCGCATGGTCTCAAGGCATCCAGACCGATGCGATTGGTGATGGTGGCATCCAGGTCTCTTTCATTGAAAACGGGGGTTTCATTAAGGTTAAGGGTGTTGGGTTTGACAATGGTGCAACCGAGTTCAGGGCGCGAGTTTCGTCAGCTACCACTGGCGGCGATATCGAATTGCGTATCGATAACAGGGCTGGTTCGCTTATTGGAGTTTGTCATGTGCCAACATCTGGAGGTTGGGATGTTTGGATCACTGTATCCTGCCCAGTGGTTGATGCCGATGGTACTCATGACCTGTGTCTCAATTTTGCTAGCAACGGAGGGGACTATCTGTTTAACTTTGATTGGTGGCAGTTTCAGTAAAGCTGCAGACAAAAGTCATTAATTGATAATGACAGTTCGTGGCATTCAAGTCTATGTTTACCGTATCATCCTCGATGGAGACTGAAATCGAAGAAATAGCATAGTAAATCACAGCGTGACTGAAATCTGAGACGGCTATTTCAACATTCAAGGCCGCTTATTGATAACCTCCATCGCACTCAGATTTTGGAAACAATCTCGAAGAGTGTTTCAAAAATCGCAGATGGAGCGTGACCGCCGTTCATCACATCACGGCGTTCATATCGTATTTTACATGAGTGACTAAACTTCAAAACTGGTGCGATATAAACACGGATGGTTCAAGACGGAGCCAGGCACGACTTCAAAGACCGTAGAGGGTCTTGTGATCACAATCCTACAATACCCTTACTATGGATCAAGACATGATAATTTTTCCTTGATGATTTGTTTGATAGATCCTGTTCTCTGTTGGCAGAGGGTCTCTCCAGTGCATGCTAATCTTCCTCATCATTGCCCTGTTCAATCAGTCTCTCAAACTTGGGACGGTTGCAGTCCCGCCCCTATCCGTCACCAGGCCAGCCCGCCTTCTTCATCCTTCTAGCCAGCTTGTTATGGCTGAAATAATCCTCGGGATCAGAACCAGAGTGTGGCTCGGACTCATATTCTCAGTTCATATTCTGCCTCATAATGGACATATCCCATGAACCAAGCCTGATCCAGTTCATCTCCCGGAACTCCTCCTTGCAGATAGTGAAAAAGTCAGCCGGTTCATACATGTTGAACCCGTCACGCCATTCCTTGGCCCATCACCCGCGAACCGTGCCAGACTGTTGTTCAGCTCGGGCGCAGGTTCATCGTGCTGCCCTTCCGGGCCTCCCCAATTGATGTAGCCGTCGTCGGTATCTAGGATGACTTGGTAGCTGCTCCTACCCCTATAGATTGCGATGACGACGCACGAATCGGGATGGGGGATCTCGGCCGATGTAAGACGCAGCGGTGCCTTGAATTTCGCCGTTGCGGATCTTCTTCTGGATGTCCTCGCGGCGGTAGTCGATAACAGGGGTATTTTCCATGACGATAGGGGCGTAGAAAAGATTGTTCTCGGCATACTCGACGTAGGCAATATGGCGGAGGAGGTCGATGGCGGTGCCGTTTCTTTTGAAATTTGCCAAAGTCTCCTGGTTGATCAAACGCCATCCATTAGCGGGAGCCTGCACAATAGTAGCACGCCAGAAGGTACGGTTACAGAAGTGGTAGTAGTCTGTCAAGGGACGGATGTGGTCATCTCGATTATACACCATGCCAAGGGCTGGCGGCCGTTGGAAGCGTAGTTGTTTAGAAGATGATGGCCTGGAGTGTCTGCGTGAGATTACCACGAGAGGCAATAGGCTCACATAAAGCAATGATAAGGTAATAATAATAATAATAAATTGTTTAACGCCGGTTCCACCCCTCGAGGGGTAAAGGGCGCCTACGTCGGCTACTGGAGACTATCTACTATTATATATAGTACGAATATAAAAGAAAAGTAATATATAAATAGTAATAATAATAAATAAAATCCTTTATTTTAGGCCCGTATTATAAATTAATTTTAATAAAAGTATAGAGTATTATAAATATCTAGCGGAGTAGGGGGTAATTTTTATACTTTCCGGACTAAAGTAGTTAAGAAATATAAATAGCCTATTAAAAATAGAACGGTATAATAGCGGCTTTACGTAATTATTAACGCTACTCTAAATTAAATATATATTAAAATAAATATAGTAATATATAATAAAATACGTAATAAAAAAGCGAATAGGTTTTTATTAGTTAATATTAACCCTCGTAGTTTAATATATAAAATATTTAATTATACTAAAAAAGCTAAAACTTAAATAAAATTCGTTTTTTTTAATAAAGCGAACTCGTATTTCTTTAATATCCGGTCCCTAGGTATATTTAAAAATATATTTTAATTATAAATAACTTAAATTATTAGTTTAGCGCTAAAATACCTAGGCTCTAAATAAAATATAATTAATTAAAAACCTTATATATAGAGAAGTAGCCCTGTATATTAATAATAAACTTTAATTATTTAGGGCCGAGCTTTTTTTTAAAAAAACTATGCTATTTTAATTATAATACTTTTTAGCCTTTATATTTTTAGTATATATATAGGTAAATAGGGGTTTTATAGTTATTATATTAATATTATATAGTAGCGTCGGTATAATAAAATTTCTTATAATATAGTATAAAGTCTTTATAATTACTCTAAATAGCGAGTAAATAATATAGATTATATTATATAAGCTTTCGTAGTTTATTAATTAATTTTATAAAGATATTAAAGTTTAATTCTTTATAGCTACGGGGTTTTTATTAGCGCTATTAACTATTTAGGGCGTTATTTAGTTAGTATTATAAACTTTTTTTAACTTAGCTATAAATAAATAGTCTCGATTTAGCGTTTAGTACCTTTATTTTAGAGCCGGCTTTAGCTAGCTTATCTATTACTTTATTATTTAAAATACTTTAATACTTTAATATTTATTTAACTTTAACCTTAACTATAGATTTATTTACGAGCCGTTAAAAATTTAAAATTACTTTTTATAAAAATAGGGCTAAAGCACTATTTAGCCCGAAAATAATAATAGTATTATTTAAATATATAATAATATTTAGAATAAAAAGGTTATAAAGGGAGAGGGCCTTAATAAACCCTGCTCTAGCTCCTTTAGCTTTAATATTATAGACTTTAATAAAAGTAAATAGATAGTAATTAATATAGATAAATTACTTTTTATAATAGACTATATATCTATACCCGCTTTTTTAAAGCTTAGTTTATTATCCGTTTATATATATAAATAAATAGGTATTTAAAAAGGTATTAACTTATATAATATAGGCCGCTATAACCTCTTTTTAATACATTATAATAAATACTTTTTTTATTTATAATTTTTTAAATATAAGATCGATTTAGGGAATAGGTTAATAAATTAAATAAACTTTATTAACGTAATAGGACGAGCCTTTTAACCCCTGTTTTTTAATAGTTTATAACTTTAGATTTTTTTAATAAATAAATAGGAGTTATTTAGTATCTTAAATCTAAGGGCGTGCTTAGCTTTTATAGTATTTAGGATATAATTTACTAAAAGAGTACTATTTTCGTAATAAAAAATAGGCTAGAGTATAGTTTATTATATTAAGAAATAGCCCTTTATAATATAATTAAATATTCGTTAAAACTTTATAATCTAATTTATTAAATTATTTTATATTTAAAAGAAGATTTATATACTTTTTTTATTTATAATATATTTAAACCTAGGCCGGGTAGGGCCTAGGTACTAAACCTCTAAACTAAAAACTACCTTTAATAAAGTAATAGTATATATACTTTTTTAAATTATAACTAGCAGTACCCTAGAATATACGTAGCTAAAACTATAAATATAATTTATAAAAGAGCGAGCTATTATTAAAAAAAAATTTAATATAAGTCTTATATAAAAGGGTATAATTAAACTATATTCTAAGCTATTAAATAGCTAGTTTAAAAGTAAACTTTTATTTTAATAATATTATTTTATAGTTTTTATAAAATATCGAGGGGAGAGTAGGCTTTCGCTATTTAATAAAGTAAATAACTTCTATTTTTATTAAACTAAATAGGATTTTATTTTAATTACCTTATTTAATAGTATTATTAAGGATTTACTACGCGGCTATAGTCGTCTTTTTTAAAGTCTTTTTAATATAAAGTATATTATAATTATCTATATATTTAAACCTTATACTTTTTAATTTAATATAATAAATAAGCTCGGTATAATATAAATAAAGAATAAGCGAAGCGGGAGAGCTCTATAATAATTTATATTTTAAAGGGTCTATTAGTATTTTATATTTATTATAATAAATAGAGGTATACCTAAAAGATATAAAATACTTAACTTATAAAATTAGCCTTTTTAACTACCCCTATTTATATAAATATAAAAGGAGGCGGTTTTTTATAATAATATTAAACGCTCTTTAAATATCTTTAATAATAAAAGTAGCTATTTATTTATAAAAAAAGTAGCCTCGATATTATAAATTAGAGCCGTAATTATATTAATAATAGAGCGCTTAAATAACGTTCCGGTAACCTATAGGTTTAGAATAACGTTTCATATACTAATCGTAGCTATCTTTTATATTAAAAGTTTTTTTAAGCCCTTATTTATAATTATTAATAATAAAATAGGGCGCTATTTTTTTAAAGAGTTTATATTTTAGTTTAGTTTAAGGATTAAAAGGACTCTAGTATTATAAAAGGGTATAAGGTAGTACTTTAAATCTTAATAGCGCTAAAAAAAAGTAAATAAATCTATTTTTAAATTATTAACTATACTATTTAGAGTATAATAACTATAATATTATTAGCCCCGGGTATTATATTTTTAATATTTATAAAGCTTAAACGTACTTCTTTATAGTATATAATATTATCCTATAAAAAGATCTTTTATAAAACTATTAATATATCTAGGTCCATATTATTTAACTATGTATTTTGTTTTAAGAGTTTTTTTTTAAAAAAATTATACTTTTTTAATAAGCGCAATAATAATTTTATTATTACTTTATAAAAGAGGGGATTAGAACTAAGATTTAGGCTTTTTTTATTTTAAGATATAGTATAAATCTTTATTTAACTTAATTAACTAAATCTATTTAAATTAATATTAAAATTTCGTTTGAAATACGATATATAAAAAGCTAATATACGCCTCTTTAGCCCTAGCTAAGGAAGGGTCGCTATATAAATAAAAATAATAGGCTTTTTTAGTTCTATTATAATCTAGAGTTTATTAAAATACCGATTTTTTATTAGCGCGATATTTAATATTGGTAACTATAAAAGTAATATAAATTATTAATATAAAGGTTTTTATTATTTATTTAGATCTTTTATTAAATTTAATTAATTAAAGAGTATTTAAGTAATAAAAGCTAGGACCTTAATAAAACAATTAATATATTTTAGTTTTCATTAATAATAGGGTAATATAGCGGGGGGTTACCTAGGTAAACTTTAGTATAATAATATAATAAAAAGGGTTTTATAATTAGACTTAATATATAAATAGCCGGTTATTTTTATTTAAGCTATAGGGATGTTTAAAAAGTAGAGATTAATTATATTATTCTTTTATATAGGGGCCCTTAGGGTATTAAGGAGGTTAAGCCTTTTTGTTTTAAAGGTAAATTTACTTACCTTATTATTTGCCTTATTCCTTATATTACGTAAGCATATTATATACCATATTAATCTACAGTTTTTGTAGATTATTATAGGTATTGATTATGTAAGCAATTCTGCTTATATAAGCTTACGTGAGCTATGGAAAGTACTAGAAAGTAACGGAATGCTCTAGAATTCTCTCGAGGCGGTATTACGTACTACGATTACGCATTTACTTACGTATGCGCTTATTAATTATATTATAATTAATAAGCAACGGAATATTCTAGTAGGATGTTTTTATACCTATATAAGGGCGTCTTTTTACCTATTTAGACCTTTCGTTAAGTAAGCAACTTCTTATATAATAATTTAATTATATTACTCTCTTTATTTATATAAACCTTACTTATTACGCTTATTTCCCTTTATTTATATATTCTTGTTTCTATATGAATATTCACTTTATTTATTCTTTTATAAGAATAACCTTTATAACCTCGTTATAAGCTACCGTACTAGACTTTTTATATTTATTTAATTAATAACGGTTATAATATTTTAAGACCCCCCCGACGGAGCAATCCGCTAGGGCCGTACTATATATTACGTATTAAAAAAAACTAAATATATTATACTCTAAACCTAATTACTAACTAAAATAGTAATTAACTAACTCGACTATTTTCTCCTTTTTATTAACTCTTAACTTTCCGCTACCCGTTTAGAAAATAAGCTTTACCTATTTTAATAAATATAAAACCTCTTAATACTAGCTTATATAAATAGCTAGGTCTAGTATAATCTCTTTTTTTATATAAATATTATCGTTATTTAGAGGGGTTTATAAAAGCCGTTTTAAATACTAATTTATTATTTTAATTTTATATATTTTTAGTTTATTTATTTTAATTATTATAGCTAGGCCGGCGTTAATATATTAAATCTTAATATTAATATTAACTTAGCTATTTATAATATTCGTACCGTTACTTAGTTAAATTTTATATTATTAAAAAGTACTTCGCTACTTTTTAAACGCATTTATATTAATTATAATAGTTA